GTTGAGTATAATATTTAATATTTAGTGCAAACATTAATGATAGTGTTTAAAAAATTGACGTTTAAATGGTTGATTTATTATTATGATTTCGATTGGTAATATAACAGATTTAATGAGACCAATAAAAAATTATAAAAATTCGAATTATTTATTTTTTCTATACATACAGGATGCGCCAGAAATTGCGCTCCAGAGAAAAATTTCAAGTAAGATAAGATACCAGGAACATGGAAAAAATGTTTAAAAAATTCTATCTGTCAAAAATTTTTGACATTTATTTTTTGACTTGTTACTTTTTTATGTCTATTTAATGATAATGATGATCTTGTATATGTTTTTTTACAATTATTTAGTAAAGGTACAAAAATTTGGCCAATAAAAGCCACAAATAACATTAAACAGAGTTACAATTTAGGATACAGCTTCCTTGTTTCTTTTTCTAATAACCTATAGCAAAAAAACTTGGAAAATTATTTTTTTTTAACTCTCATAACTTCAAAATTTTTATAGATACATTTTTTTAAACATTTTTCCATGTTCCTGGTATCATACCTTATACGGCATTTTTCTCTGGGACGCGAGTTGTATTCAGCATTTACCAGAAATAGGTACTTTTTTCAAATCTCATTGTTTAAAAATGTGTGTTTGTTTTCTATTTTAGGGACTTGTAATAATAATTCTACAGTTTTTTTCTGTTTTTTCCAGGCTTGCATTTGCGCAGTGGCGGCGACGACTGTCGGATGCCGGCAGAGGGGGGCGTCCCCAGCTCGGATTTTGTACACCGAGATCGACCCCATCAAAGAAATATCAACCATGCAGGCCATGGGGGCCACTGCTATGACCCTGAATACGCCCGGATGGAATCATGGCTCGACGAACATCCCGATTTTGTCCAAGACTATTTTCTCAGGTAGGTATTTGAAAATTTTTATTTACTCGCAAATTTTTTTGGGTCGTCGTCCGCGTCCACGTTTCAATAACATCACCCAATAAATTTGCATATTATTTACATTGGATTTTGTTGTTTGGAAATTTTCACGTAAAATATCGAATTTAAATTCCACGTCACACGCTTTTATTAATCGAATTTTTCCCCCGTCCTAATTCTTACGCTTTGCAAATATTCCGGTCGCGTGTTTTCCGAATTCCAAATTCCAGCAAAATTAATTATGTTATTTCATGGGAAAAATTCTTCATCAGGAAAGCTACCAGACAAGTGGTGGATTCGTGGTTGGTATCGCACGCGACGCCGACGTCGTCGAGCGTCGAATTGGCGTCGCCTACACACAATCAGTCCAGGGCCGGATCGGGCGCCACGACGCCCGTCAGGAAGATATCAGCGCATGAGTTTGAAAGAGGAGGACTTCTTAAACCGATGATAAGCACCATTGATGGACAACCGACTTTTTTAACGGGGTCGGCGGAAAATCAAGTTAGCGGGGGGAATAACAGCCCCACGCCGGGGAGGAGGCAGAGGAGGTCCAGGCACGAATTGAGGCATTTGGACGAAAAAGAACTGATTTTTGAACTGGTACGAAAAAGTTTCCATTGTTATAGTTTTTATTTAAACTTGACCCAATAATTTTTTTGCACTTTTTTGAGTTTTTAAGACCTCTAGAAATGTAAAAATTTTTATATGAATTAATTTTAAAGTTGAAATCTTTTTTGATTTTTGTCGAGATTTTGGTCAATTTTTGGCGCCTGGAACGGTCTATTTCAAATAACTCTGGACTTTTTGGTGGTAACCTCTTATGTTTGGTACCGTTGGAAAGAAAATTTAATTTTCTATCATATACAAAAAAGATCAGTGTTGTACGATAAATAGTTATCGAGAAAATTTCTGATAAAATCAAAAATATAGAAAATATAAATTCCACTGTAACTTCAAAACTATTACGAATTTTGCAGTTTCATTTTATATACAGCGTGAATATAAAGTATGGAACCAAGCGGTTTTATTTTTAATCATTTGCCTCCAGAAAATAATAATTAATATAAAAAATGTGATCGTATTTTCACAACGAAATTCTGTTTTGTTTTTGAGTTATGCGATTTTTTTTGTCAAAATTGCAATTTATGTGAAAAAAATTTTTTGAAAAAATTAAATATAAAGCAGATAGTTGTAATCCTTGGAGTATAGCTTTTATGAGAAAAATGATTGTATAGTGGGTTGCCATAATTTTTTTTTTTTGTATAACTCAAAAACAAAAGGAAATTTCGAAAAATATTATTCTTTTTAAATCATCACATTTTTATACTAGTTTATCACTCATCAATTAGTTTTTTCAAAAAATAAATAGTTTAAGCAAAAAACGTTTGGTTCCATAATTTTTATTATGTTTACATCATTGAGATACAGTTTTGCCACAATTTACAAAATAAAGAAAATCAAAAATTCTTAATTTTTTCTCGTGACATGTCTGTACTACAATCCGATTTAAATAAGTTACAAGACTGGTGTGCAAATAACAAAATGTTTCTAATTGTTGAAAAGTGTCAGTCTATTGTTTTCAGCAGGAAAATCTCTCCAACCCTACCGAATTATTTTATTAATAGTACAAAAAAAAAACAGTAAAACACAGTCTGTGAGAGATTTAGGTATATTACTTGATAGTAAATTAACTTTTATTCAACACCTTGAATTTATCATTTGTAGAGCTAATAAGGCACTTGGCTGCATAAAACGTTATTGTCGTGATTTTAGAGATTTTAATTCCATCAAAATGCTATTTGTTTCACACGTACGTTCAATCCTCGAATATGGTTCGATAATCTGGAATCCGCATTACAAAATTCATGTTGGTAGGCTTGAAGCAATACAGTTTAAGTTTTTTAAATATATAAAATGGTTGCTGCCTTATTATGTGCAAGATAATTACAATATTTCTTTAAATTAATGTCTCTTTCTACACTTGAAATTAGAAGAAGATATCAGGCTTTATGTTTTGTTTATAAACTTTTGAATAATTTAATTAATGATACTTCAATACTAAATTTAATTAATTTTCACGTTCCACAGTATAATAGCAGATCAAACCAATTATTCAAAATTTCGTTTGCACATAATAATTATCTATTTAATTCTCCGCTAAATGGTCTTTTAAGAATTTTTTAATTTTAAATCCTTTAATAGCTTCAAGCGTTTTCTGAAAGTTCCTTTGAGTTAGTCATTTAGTATTCTTTAATTATGTTTATATGTTACTTGTTTTGTATTTTAATTTTATTATTACTTAATGTAAAGGATATTACCGTTAAACTAAAGTTATTATTATTAAAATTAAAATAAAAAAAAGTAACGTTTTATGCACTTTTTTGAGCTTCTGGGATCTCTAGAAATATAAAAAACGTTATAAAGTTTAATTTTAAAGTTGTTAATTATTTTGATTTTTGTCGAGATTTTGGACCACTTTTTGCTCCGGAATTATTGGTGACAGTCTTTTACGTTTAATACCGTTGGAAAACACATAATTTTACACTCTTTTGAAAACCATTAATCAAAGGGAGGAATAGAGAAACTCGCTCTATTTTTAGTGAAGAAAATCCGTTCCACTTTACTATTTCCTAGACTTTAATTTCATGTTATTTATTTGTTTTTCGCTTAACTAAATTATGCCTTGAGAGAGCATCACATTACCGCCGATCTATTACGAAATTTCCTGATGCCCCAATTGATCATTTCGGTCGAAACGCGTGTGGGTAGTCGTTAAAAGCGCGTCCTTGTCGCCCCCTTTTACACACTTTCGACCCCATTTTCCAGGTCAAGGACATCTGCAACGAGTTGGAAGTCCGTTCCTTGTGCCACAAAATCCTCCAGAACGTCTCCACGTTGCTGCATGCCGATCGAGGCTCCCTTTTTCTCGTCCAAGGCGAGAAAGGGGGTGGATGCACGCCTCTGCCACCAGGACAGACGCCTCGTGGACGATGTCTCGTCTCAAAATTATTCGACGTTTGCTCGAGAAGCACACTCACTGAAATGGAGAAAAAAGAGGAAATTCGGATACCCTGGGGCACGGGAATCGTCGGATACGTCGCCGAGAGCGGCGAACCTGTGAACATACCCGACGCCTACCAGGTTTGCACACTTTATTTTTTCTACGATTGCGCTAATTTTCGGATATTTTTTCTTTCGGTTCTAGTTTAATTTGTTACTCATGTATACAGTAGAAGTAAGTAAAGTAAAGTAGAAAAAATATTTAGTTTGAAAACAGCCTGGATTTTTAAAATTTTTGATATTTTTACTTAAAAGAGAAAGAAAATGTTTTTTTCAATAAATTAATGAATTTTTCTAATTTTAATCAAAAATTGACAAATTTGTATTTAAATTTCGGTAAATTACTTTTGACTTCTAATAAAAAAATATGTACTACTTTAATACATGTTTTTCACTTTTTTATTTGTTCTATGTTCTATGGTTCAAGTGTTGAGTATAATATTTAATATTTAGTGCAAACATTAATGATAGTGTTTAAAAAATTGACGTTTAAATGGTTGATTTATTATTATGATTTCGATTGTTAATATAACAAATTTAATTAGACCAATAAAAAATTATAAAAATTCGAATTATTTATTTTTTATATACATACAGGATGCGCCAGAACTCGCGCCCCAGAGAAAAATTTCAAATAAGATAAGATACCAGGAATATGGAAAAAATGTTTCTATCTGTAAAAAAATTTTGACATTCATTTTTTGACATTTGACATTTTTTTATATCTATTTAATGATACTGATGATCTTGTATATTTTTTACAATTTTTACAATTATTTAGTAAAGGGACAAAAATTTTGCCAATAAAAGCCACAAATAACATTGAACAGAGTTACAATTTAGGATACAGCTTCCTTGTTTTCTCTTTTAATAGCCTATAGCAAAAAAACTTGGAAAATTATTTTTCCAACAGAAATAAATAGAGTCAAAGTGCAAAATTTAAAGTCTCATAATTTCGAAATTTTTATAGATAAATTTTTTTTAACATTTTTTCCATGTTCCTGGTATCTTACCTTATATGGCATTTTTCTCTGGGGCGCGAGTTGTGGCGCAGATATCCCAGCGAGTTGAAAAAGTCAATTTGTGACCTTTAAATGGTAAAATTAACAAAAAAAAGTATAGGACATTGATAGATACTAATCTAGTGCATCACCTAAAATTATTTTCAACCATACAGCATGTCCCAAAAATAAGTTACGATACAAACTTGTGGTTTTTTTAAAATAAAACACCGTATGTTTCTTGGCATTTTTGGATGAAGCCTTTAAAACAATGTTTTTACGCTAAACTTTTATTAGTGGATTTCGCTTAGTTTTTTTGACTTTTAAAAAAATTATTACACAAAAACTAAAACAGCTATAACATTTTTTTTTCTTACTTCTGTAAAGAAGAAAGTACAGAATTTAAAGCAGTAGCAATTTTCTAGTGTCTTGCATTTGTAAAGATTAAAAAATGAAGAAGTTTGTTAAAAGTTAAATAACTTTAAAAAATTAAATGGAACACCGCATTTTTTATTTTTGCATCTAATAGACTGATAAAGTGTCTATCTAAAAAAATAAATTTTTAATGTCTACAATTGATAAATAAAAAGATATTTAACTTTCAAAATTAATTGTAGCAACAATGCCTATCAATATCTGAGCATTGTTGATACTATGGCAATTATAGTAATTCCACCACGGATCACTTATCCGTTGATTTATCCAGAAATTGTAAAAATCGTTATAAATACTGAAATTACGATTATTTTATTGTAAAAATAAAGAATAATGGTTTCAGTTTAACACAAATGTGATTATTAAGTGATATTTCTTCCATCTCTTGTGCAACTGTGCACTTTTTGGCTACTGAAACAATAGTAATTATTTTTTTTAATGTTTAACGTTAAATATCTTTTGATTATAAACACCTAAAAGAAAATAATTTTAGAAAGACAATTTAATAACCTTTTAAATGCAAAAACAATAATTAGGGTGTTCCATTTAAATTTTTTAAGTTATTGAACATTTAACAAACACCTTTATTTTTTTATATTTGCAACACACTAAAAAATGTTACAACCTTATAGCTTGTACCTTCTTTCTTGCAGTAGTAAAAAAGTATTTCTAGATGTCTTAGTTTTTGTGTAATAAATTTTTAAAAAGTGCATGTTTTCGTTAAAAAAATTGTCTTATTTTTAAAACTAAGCAAAATCGACCAAAAAAGTTTAACTTAAAAACATTGTCATAAAAATCTCCATCCAAAAACGCTAAGAAACATATGGTGTTTCATTTAAAGAAACACAGGTTTGTATTGTAACTTATTTTTGAGACAGCTGTTTAGTTAATATAATAAAAATTTTAGGCTAGATTAGTATCTATCAAAGTCCTATATATTTTTTTTATTTTACCATTTTCAAATCGCTGGGACACCCTGTATTTATTGATTTTTAACTTTTAAAGACCGAGATTTTATGTTTTTTGTTTGTTTTGATGTATTTTTTATACTTGTTGATTGATAAACGATAGAGCAAAGCTTTGTTTACTGCCAAGTAAAGTCTAGGTAACTATTTTTAGTACAAAAAAAATGTTAGGACTTGAAGCATGAGACGACAAATTTTGCTAGCCCTAAAACGTTTTTGCGTTGATTAAATTGAGATTCCTTTTTGTGAGTATTTATAGAACCCATTTGTCTTGTTTTTCTATGAAAAGACAGCGCAAAAATTCTATTTTTGCCGCAAAGCTTCAATTAAAAACTTTAAAATCAACGAAACTGCTCAGATTATTTATTTTTTTGACTTTTATGTTTTATTACAGAATTCGGCTGAAATCTAGAAAGAGTCAGTAAGCGATTTTAAGTGTAAATAGTCCTAATTATAGACTTGCCTCCCGATAAACAAATATGCATATAAAAACTTTGAATTAATGTCTGTCACTAACCAAAATTTGATGGAAATTTCGATATCATCAAAAACAGGATGTTGTCTATCTATCTTTTACTTGAATGAGCTATCAATCAAACCAAACAAAATGATCGATTACGAAAACACCCGGAAATATCCCTATTAATAACCATCAATCTTCCAGGTAATCCTGGAATTTTTCATACGAAAATATTACGCTTCTTCTATTAATATCAATATTTATGTCAACAATTATATAATTTTAATCGTGGTTCGTGATGGGCACCAAGCGATATATTTATGTTAACAAATTTCCTCCAGAGAGCCAAAAGGGACATATGTTAACGACGTTTACGTGACCTCAAGTCGGATAATCCATCGTTGCGATTGTTGACCGGAAAGGAAGTCGGGGGTTGACATGCGACATCACTGCTATATATGAAACGCGGAGGTGGCTGGTGGACATTTGAATTTATTGTTTCGTATTTCAATTTTCTTCAAACTAATTTTCTTACTTCAAGTTTTTTTTAAAAATTGCCAAGAAAATCTAACCAGAATGTAAGGAAATGAATTCAAAAAAATGTAAACAGATTATTACGACAGTAAAAATACTGACGGGGACAAAAAATTGTTTTTTTTTGTTTTTTTACAAACTACTTTCTAATTTTTTAATATTTCTGAGAATTTTGTTCTAAAAAAGGTTTAGTTCCTTTATTGTTTTTTTTTGTCAGAGATTTTATTTTTCAAATTTTACAATGATTTTGTTAAGAACGACAAGGATACTTGTTTTACTATTTCTTTATTTTCACGTGTACAAAATTGTATTTTGCGCCAAACTGTTACAAATAAATGTAAAAGAGTAAACTTACCTTTCTTACTTATTATTTCAATAAAAGTTTGGTGTGACGGGCTAATCGTGTTTTTGTTTAAAAATTATGGAAAAAAATATTTGGGTTGAAAACAGTTTAATTTCTAAACACTACTAAAACAATCTACTTTCTTGATTTATTTAAAATCTTATAAGTTTTTGGTCTAGAAGAAAGAAAAAAAGTATTTTTTCACTAAATTAATTGATTTTTCTATATTTTCAGTTACAGTTTTTACTTTTTAGTTTTTGAAACTTTATTTATTATTTTTTTCTTAAATTTCACCTTTACAAAATAAGGTTTTCTGCTAAATTTTACTTTATATACAAGAAAACAAATAGAAATAAATGTAAACAGATTATTATGAAAGTAAAAATAATGGTAAAAACTAGTAATTTTTTTACAATCTATTACTTTCTAATGTTTTATTAAAATTTCTGTGATTTTTCATCGAAAAGAGGTATAAACAGTATTTCTTTTGACTGAATTATAAATAATATTAAATAATAATAATAATTACACAATATTATTATCATTATAAATGTGAAAATTGTGTTGAAGAAAAAAAATTGTTTTTTGCTTTTGTTTTAAAGTAATACAAACACCAATATTTTTTACAATCTACGATTTTTTTTCTGGTGTTTTTGATGTAAAAGTAAATTATTTAATTTTTTATATTTTTGGTTGGTTTGATTTTTGTTTTTCATTTCTTTAGTTTTCAAGATTTAATTTTTCAACTTTCACTTTCAATGAATATTTATCAAAAGCAATATGAAAAATATTTGTTTTACATAAGATCAAACTGTTACAAAAAATATAACTAAATGGGAAACATCTTAATTTCTAAATGATTACCTACAAACACTACTAAAACAATTTACTTTCTTGATTTTTAAAATTTTTGAAAGTTTTGTTTCAAAAAAGAAATGAAATGAGTTCATTTTTTCACTAAATTAGTAGATTTTTTATGAACTTTCCAAGTTCATCACACATTTATTGTAACAATAGGACTTCGATGAGGAATAATTTTATTCATTACATTAGAAGCATTTTTTCCATCGCATTTTTCTGAGGTTTAATTATTTTCAGTTAGTTTATCTTTCAGTTTTAGAAATTTAATTTTTCATTTTTTTCTCACTTTTCAGTTTTCAAAGATAGATTTTACTTTAGATGCAAGAAAACAAATATAAATAAATGTAAAACCTATTATTATTATTATATTAGTAAAAATAATGAGGATAAAACATTGTTTCGCTTGAAAACAAGCTTTATTTCAAACTGATCACAAACATTCATAAAATTACAATTTTGTGGATTTCTCCATTTTAAAATTTTTATGGTTTTTAGCTTAAAAAAGTGTGGCTATTAATTTCCCTATTGTAATTTAGTTTAATTCTTTAAATCTAAGCTACATGACACTTTAGTAACATTATTTATTTATTTTTATTTTGGTTATTTTTAGACGCTTTTTGGTAGAATTGAAAATTTCGCTGTTTGATTTTTCTTTCAACTGCTTTGATGATAATTGTATGCGCACATTTGAATGCAGGCATTTTCCAACTTTAGTAAGTTTCGTAGCTGGAATGTATTATGGTAACAATACTGTAGAAAATGACAATGAGCAGTTTACACAACGTTAACTTTACACCCGAGAACGCTTTCAAACATAAGGATTTTATTGTTAATTCCAGCAATTCAGCTTTGAAATTCGACACACGAAAGAAATTAATAACTTAGGCAGTTGGAAGTTACAAAGTTGTATTTTACTAAACTGATTAGAATTCCGCCGTTGTTCATGGGGGATTTCTCAAAATAATGCGTGGGCGGGTGGTTAAACGTGAATAGAGTTTGTGATGATTATCGCTGATTTTTTGGACATCGCGTCTGATTTCATCGTTCCCAATATAAAGTCGCTCGAAAATAACAAAGGAGAGATAAATTAGCGAAAAAGTACGTCGGTTATTTGGCAAAATCCCAAAAGATGGTCGTTTCCTTGGGTTAATAAAAATATCGCGTCGTCACCAAACTACTCACTTTTGTCCCCAGTTTTTTTTACTTCAATTAAGAGACGCGCATTTTGTTTACAACTTATGTAATCGGCCTTTACCGTTTACGTCGAGGAATTCGTGTAATAGAACCATTAAGGAATGAATTGTCCATCACACGTCCGATTATATCGAATTTTATTGATGCCATTTAGATTGGGTGGTCTTGAGCCACCCTAAAACATGTATTCGAGACGGTTTTCTATTTATACGACGCGAATTTAAAGCCACTGGATTTACATTGAAAAGCAAGAAGAATGGCATGAGAGAAACAAGCTCATCTTAAACATTTACTGCTTTGTGTGGTGGATTGTGAAAAGAGCAGTCTTACAAAACTCTATTTCTGTTGCAGGACGATCGATTCAACCACGATATTGACGCCTTGACGGGGTACAGGACCAAGACGCTGCTGTGTATGCCCATCAAGGACACCAATGGGGATGTCATTGGTGTAGCACAAGTAAGTTTTTGCCTTAGAACTTGGAAAAAACGGTCAAAAGTCGAGGAAATGCTCACTCTCAATTTGAGACACAAATTGTCAAGGATGTAATTATAAACATTTAAACAGAAAATAAAAGAAATATAATATTTTATACATATTAAAAAACAGAACATTTAAATTTTTGCAAAAGAAACAAATTTGATTAAATTAAGAATAAAAAACTAAAAATGTATAAAACAATTGTTTCGTATTTTTGTATCAAAAGTAATAAAATAAAATATCTTGAGATTCTAATTTAGCCGCCGAGGAGCAGTCACCTCAAAAGTTGAGCTTTTTAATCTAAAATGCAGTTGCAATGTTGCCATTTTTCGCTTGAAACCCGGTGAATGTCAATAAAGGAAATCTTTTTATTAAAAAACAAAAACACCTGTATTTACTATAATAATGCCATATTTTTTTGTATTTATATTGCTGATAGTTAAAAAAATAGAAAAAAATAAGAACAAAATGTGACTCTTTCGAGAAAATTTAAATTTTTTTGAGCTGCAATAATAAGCCAAAAGCTTTCATTTCTACTTTGAAAACACATTCTAAAACTAGACTAAAGCCTTTGAATACGCATTTTGACGTTTCTGGTTGAAATTAATTAATTTTGTTCAAATACATAAAAAGTGATTTATTTTTTATATTGAGCCAAAATTGGGCGTATCTAAAGTCCCTGGATTTTTTTTGTCTATAGCTTGTTTTATTAAATCAACATAAAACGGACTTTTTCTGTCAATAGTCGATCTTTTAAAATCTAAAATCACTTTTGTGATGTTGTCATTTTTTGAATAGATTTGAAACCAGATGAATGACAATTATGAACGATTTTGTATTAAAAAAAAAAAACACTCGTATTTACCACAATAATAAACCGACCATTTAAGGTATATGCCATATTTTTGGTCTTTACGGCTTATAGACAAAAAATTAGAAAAAAAAACATCTTCAACAAAATCTTAATTTATAATTTAATTTATATTCTGAGTTTTTTGAAAAAAAAATATTTGAGGCATAATAAATAAGCCAATAACTTTAATTTCTACTTTGAAACTAATTCTAATGCTAAGAGTCACGTTTTTTAAAGAAAGTAATTACTTTTGTTCCAATATTTTTTATTTTTTATACTAGGGCAATAAAAAATGAAGTGGGGCGTAACTAAAGTCTCTGTATTTTTTTGTCTAGAGTCTGTTTTAATCTACGTAGCGTAAAATAAAACGGACTTTCAATTTTTTGTTCGTTTTTTCTTTTAAGGAGTTTGCTCAAACTCTAGGACACATTTATTTTGAAAACTGTTTTGTATATCAAATTACCGCTGAATTTCCGAAAGGCACTCGTTGATTTGAAATGGCCTCTTGACTATCAAAAAGCCATTTTTGTGAACAATTTTGAAACACTAAAATTGACCAAATTCTGTGTTTACATCCTGGATATAGCAAGGATGTTCTTTTTTGTCCAAAATATTTCTCGATGAGTGTAGTTTATAACGTATACATCATCATTTAATTTTGAGAAAAAAATTCTTAGGAAATTAGTTTTCGTAGAATGTGACATTTTTGTGTAGTGAAATTTTTAAGATGCGAGATTTTTTATTTTACTCCTATATAATTGAGATGAAATTAAGCTAATAGTTCAAAAAGTTTTTAGTACAAAGAGCATTTCGATATGTGTATTACGATTCAAAATTTGTGCAATATGAAAATATAAAAATATTTCACTTCACAAAAATGACATAGTACTCGTCTAATAAAACTGTAATTGTCTCAGAATTTTTTTCTTAAAATTATACATATTTTGTTGTAAACGTTATAATCTACACTCATCGAAGAGTATATGAAAAAAAAAAACTTTTTAGCTTCAGCTCTTACATGAAATTCGGTTTTCAAGATAAGCTCAAAATATTTATATGCTTTTTTTCAAAAACTTCCTACAATTTTTTGTTTTTCCTACACCAATATTTATTTGTCAGAATGTCTTACCAGAGACACGTTGTAATATTCTATTTATTTTTAAATACCAGGTGAACAGAAAGTAGAAAAAAAAGGTTTTATAATGAGTTGAAAACATTAAAAATTTTGTAGAACTCAAATCGAAAATTTTTATTTTTGTAGTACTTTATCGTTCATCAATTAATTTTTTTATAAGGAATATAAGGATTACGTCTACATTTTATTTAGCTTTTATAGATTTTTTTTATATATAAATTGCTATTTTGAACTATTTTGAAAAAAATTACAATTCAAGAACAAAACAAAATTTCATTTTCAAAACATGATCTTATTTTTTATAACACTTTAATTTTTATTAATTAATATTTTCTGAAATCAAATGATTAGAAAAACGCTTCCAAACTTCTCGTTCACCATGTTTATTAAGTTGAGCGAAGTTTTAGAACGAAACGAAAGCACTTTTACATTTTTTTTGTACTTTTATTAAACTTTTAATTTTTTGGATTATTATTACATTTCGTGTATTGTTTCTGGCTTAAAACTGCATCTTGCCAAATTTATAACCCGTAAAAATATTTTTCTGTGGTTGACTTTGTGGGCTTTACGTCAGTTATTTTTTACAGGTGATAAACAAGGTGGGCGATCAGCCCTTCAGCAAACAGGACGAAGAAGTGTTTGCCAGTTACCTCCAGTTTTGCGGAATCGGCCTCCGCAATGCCCATCTCTACGAAAAATCCCAATTAGAAGTAAAACGGAATCAGGTTCTTCTAGATTTGGCCCGTATGATTTTCGAAGAGCAAAGTACCATTGAACACGTCGTTTTCAGGATACTGACGCACACGCAAAGTCTGATACAGTGCCAGAGGGTGCAGGTGAGTGAAAATGATTATTTTAGACAAACATAAGGGTGATGTATGGGCGAGGGAATAATTGCATTATCTCGCGATGCCGCCAATGTACAAACATAATATCTCCCTTGAGAACGGCTATCAATTACGTCACCACCAACCCTTAACGACGATTAATCGACGGACGGGTTTGCTTAAGGGAGCGGCAGTTTTCTACAAAACGCTCAGGAACTTCTAAATTGTTCTCTTAAAAAATAATTACAAAAATTTGATTTTTGACTTTTAATTTTTAAAACGTTTTGGGTTTGTAGAATAAAAAGAAAACAGTAGAAAACTACTGCAGTTTTTTTAAATTTTCTTATTTGTTCTGTTTACAAATATTGAGGATAATTTAAAAGTATTAAAAACAAGTTATTATAGCATATTTTGTTTAAAAAATTGAAACTGTATTAAGAAATTG